TAGGAAGAGGGAACTTTAACTGAGGAATTGTCTCTGTCAGGTTCACCTGTGGGCAGGTCTGTGGGGCATTTTCTTCATTAATAATTGGTGTGGAAGGCCAAGCTCACTGAGGGCAGTGCTACTCCTGGGCAGGTGCTCTTAGGCTATATAATAAAGTTAGCTGAGTAAGCAATGCCAAGCAAGCCAATAAGCAGCACTTCATGCTGTCTTCTTTAGTTCCTACCTCCAGGCTCCTGCATTGAGTTCTGGCCTTGGCTCCTTTCCCAGAAGGACAAAGCATAAAATGAAAGAAACTTTTCTTCCCCAAGTTGGTTTATTTGTTTTTTCAGAACACCCATAATACTATAACTACTTGACGTAAGAGTGACTGAAAGCCTGCAGTTTGACTTACGCTGCTTGTGTTTCAGTTGTATTAAAACAGGACTTACACCAGCTACTCTTTCTGCCTTTTTTTTTAAGTGTATATTTTGACTATTCACTCCAGTTAATATGAAAGATATGGAACTTAGAAGTAGTAATGATTGTACCTAATTAAAAGACACAGAAGAATTTGGGCATCAGCTGATCTGTTTTAATGAATGTGAGTATTTAGATCCATACATTGCCATGATTGTCAGGAGGTTTTTGTCTTCAGTTTTTTGTTTTGTTTTGGTGGGATTTCTTTTTGGTTTTTTGTTTGGTTGGTTGCTTTTGTTTTGTTGTTATTGTTTGTTTGTTTTTAAGACAGCGTTTCACTGTGTAGCCTTACCTGGCTGACCTGGAACTCATTCTGTAGACCAGGCTGGCCTGAAACTCAGAGATCTGCCTGCCTCTGCCTCCCCACTTCTGGGATAAAAGTGTGAGCTATCACCACCCTGTTTTTTTTTTTTTTGTTGTTGTTGTTGTTGTTGTTATTGTTGTTTTTTTTTTTAACTGTTTAGGCTTGGTATAAAATACTTTAAATATTTTAATTTAGGTACTGAACTATAAGGCAGTGTAACTGGCACATCAAATACCAGAAAAGATTGTAAATAATGTCAGTGGCATACAGACGACAGACAACACAACCGTATAAAGTGATTTAAAAGGGAAAGAAGGCAAATAGTTACTGCATGTATAATATTGTGGTGGCAATTCATCAGTATTGTTTTGCTTGTGAGTTAATCATCTCCCTTTAGGGGTGGATTATTGAGAGAAAGGTATTAAGTGAATTACAGTCAGAAGTAATCAAGATGACAACTGATCCTGACATATAGGTGAAAGAGCCCAGTCCAGGAAACTGAGGCTTAGGAATTCATAGTAACTCCAGTTCACCATGTGCAGCCTTGAGACTGGAGCATCAAGACCCTGACTCAACTTCACCTAATTCTTACACAAAGCAGTTAGTATCACTGCATTTCACATACTGAGTGTGACCACTAAGTAAAGATGCATTGAAAAATGAGATTGTTTGTTAACGATCTTAAAACACAAACTGTGTTGTTCAATATGTGTGCAAAGAGCATGGTGCTCTTCTAACCTTTGATATGCTATGGACTCTTAATCTTATGGTAGAAATGAGAACAAACACGTGGAGGCTGGAAGATACAAGGCTTAAGACCATGGCCTTAGAATTTTGAAAGCAATTCAGCCATTGTATCCTGACATCCCCTTTTCTAAGTATTTTAACCCCAAATAGGTATAATTTTAATAACTACTTCATCAGAATATGTCTGATAACTAATTAATACTTATAAAGTCTTTGGCATATATAGGCTCTAAATATAAATGCAATTTGTTAAAAGAATTAAATAGGATAAATTGAATTAGAATAAATACAAAATACACTTTGGCTTTCTAATCGTTCTTATAGGTCATATAAGAGGTGGGGAATCTTCCTAACATCGATGTTAGGAACATTTGAAACATACAGAAATAAAATGACTCTGAGAAGTTATCTTGGGAACATAAGGACTAACACCACAGTCTTCTCTCTGTGGTTTGTTGGAGATGAGGTCTGGAAGGCCCAGCTTTAGTTAGAAATAAACCAGAGAACACAAAGCTATGATGTTAGAGTTTTGGAAGAATGACAAACTGTGCCTGCTAAAATCATACTAAATGCCATATTTCCAAGGCAAGTGCCCACATTTGAACATACTAACATGAACTCTTACCTTTAAGAATATGGTTGGCTCCACAGTACTAAGGACCTTAGGGTCAGTAGGGTTAATTCTAACTCTGATGCCCTGGCTCTTTAGTTCTACCTTGATAACTGACTTACTTATTATTAACCAGAAATCACTTGGTGATTAACCACTGAATGTAGAACATTGCTAATTTTTACCTAAGCAAAGCAGCCAGAGCTTTAGTAACTATGTTCCTACTGTGGAGCCCACTTGCTTGTGTTTGAATCAACCTCAGCATTTCTGCTTACAAGATGCATTTCCTGAGGTAATTTTCTTCACACCTATATAAAGTGATAATGGTATGAATGCCTTCCTTGTATGCTTCTGGATGCTGTCATAGTGTGGAAATAAACTGACATCTTAAAAAAAATTGTCACAGAATTACTCTTCCATAAATATCTGCAGTTATACATTACTTCCATAATCCATCAATTAACAACTTTAAAGTTATGTTGACACAAAAATCTCTAGGCCTCTGGGAGATGGAGCATAAGAACTTGACTAGAGTCATGCTGATGCTCCTTGTCCTAGGACCACATCTTCAGAACATTTGCACTAAAACATTCATCCCAAATTTTCATCAAAAGCTTATGTGCTGTAACAATAGGATGAAGCAGTCATTTTAACCACATTAAGTCAAATAGTGGAAGCCTGCTAGAACAGCAAGTGCTCTTAAATGTCACCAAATTGGTAGGGGCAGTTGTAGAGGTAGTATTGACTCTGGGTGGTGGGGTAGGAATGAGAAAGGAGAGAAGGGAGTCTCAGAAGATACGACAGAACTTCAATCCAGTTCTCTGATAATATCTCTCAGAGGATGCGTTTCTTGTGGTGGCAGTGGGCACTCAGGCCTGTGACTCTCATTCCTGAGGAGGCTCAGAGAGGAGGAGGCTCAGATAATCCCGAGAATTCATATCTAACTTCAGCAATATAGCAAGACCCATCATTTCAAACAGTGAGGCTTCTCTGAGTGTATGTGTGTGTGAGAGAGAGACAATAACATCCAGCCTTACAAAAGGATGCCATGACGATGTGAAAAATCATAAAAGATATCATGGCAAGTGAACTGAGCCATATGCAGAAAAAAATATTGTATGTTCTCATGTACGGAGTATTTTTCCAAATAGTTGAATATACAGAGTATAGATAAAGGTAGTTTATGCAGTTGGGAATGGAGATAGCTAAATGTAGATTACAGGACACAAAACAACTATAGAGTGAATGAATCCAGAGATTTAATGTATAATATGAAGACTATACTTAATAACTGTTTAAAATACACAGCAAAAAGGTTCATCTTACTAACACAGACACTTGCACACACAGAGAACAAATAAAGTGATAGATACATTTTTTTTCACCTTCAGGAATCACATAATTTCATGTTGTATATCTCAAACATATATATATAAGTAATATAGAGGAAGAAGACAGGTACCTCTTCCAGGGCCAGAGAGTGCATACAAATCAGCCAACTCACTTCACTGCTACCTCAACTTGCAGGCGGCAGTAAGGGGAGCCTCGGACCCAGCACAAACTGTAGTGATTAAAGCCTCTTTGAATGTTATTGTTAGCAGCAGCAGTGGCGCAGAAGCAGAAACAGCAGCATACATTCGTTGTACCAGACTGATGAGATTCATGACATTTTTATTCGAGTATATCATGTGCTATGAGCATATTGCCACTACGGCTGCCACTCCCTTTCCCTACCACACACTCCTTTAGCTTCTCCCTGGACATCCACACCTTCACCCACCTAAGCTTAATCTCTTTCCTCCTCCCAAAAGTGTCTCTTCTACTTTTATGCCTAGGTCTCCTTCCCCTTGTTAGGAGGTGGAAGAGGTCGCGAAAGGAAAGAAACTGTAGCCTCGTAACCAGCGGGGTCATACAGCCAGCCAGGAGGCAGGAAGGCCCAGGGCTTCACAACCCAGGACGAGCAAACGCGCAGGCGAGCCTGGGTTGGCGCCGGCTGACTTGGCTGGTGGTCCAGGCTTGACTGCCCGCCCAGTCCTGAAGCAGACGCTGTAGCTACGTCACAGGCCCCGCCCTCCTCCCGAGCGAGGAGCCCCTGAGGCTGAGCAAAAAACCCCCCAAAGACAGCGCAAGTCCATTGGTCCAGAGGCAGAGGTGAGCTGCTGCTAATCGCTGGGGAAGTGAAGGGATTCCCTGGGAGGCTGGCAGATGTCGGGGTTAGGTTTCAAGAGGAGACCAGGAGGGTGGGATGGCCAGAACGGTCCAGAGAAAGAGGTACCGGAGGGATGTGGGAACAAAAGCAACTACCAAGGAAAGTCATTTCAGTGACTGAGGCCAGGCAAAACACAAGGGAAAGATTATGCGTAACCCGAGACCCTTTCATAGACACTGATGACACGTTTGTGCAAAACAAGCAGTTTGAGGAGAAACTCCTGGGACTTCGGAAAGAAGGAGAGATTGATTAATACTTGTGTTTAGGTGACTTTAAAAGAGAACTAAATAACGTATAATATTGAGGGAGGAGGAAGACCGGTACAGAGTCTCCAGCAGCAGCAGCAGCCGGATAAAGGAAGGCGTTGGTTGGTTAATTTGGAAGTGGATGAGAGCATTAACATTACAGCAGCGCCTCCAGGTCTCTGAAGCATCAGTCCCCCACTTGTAAGCTAGAAAAGGCTGAGCAGCTTGCTCCCTTTGGAAGCAAAGAACTTTCCCTCACTCAGGTGAAGACTCTGCTCCGAAGACTTCCTGTCTCAGCCTATATTACGAGAGGACTCAAAGCCAAAACAGAAGCCCAGGTATTACCAACTCTTTTGTTAAATAGTTTGAGGCTTAAGTGTACGGGAATCCATGTGCTGTCTATGGGTCTCTTCTCTCGTAACTCTCAGGATGCGTATAGTTGCTTCTGTTTCCCAGAGAAACAGAGAATTATCTTCACCGTGTTACATCTTTGTTCATCTAACAATAGCAAGGCCACCTGCGTTTTTTTCAATCACGTAAAGAATATTTAAAATATTCTGCGACCCAATAGTGACAGTGTAGGCATGTAAGTAATCTTTAGTAAGTCTTAATGTGGGTTAAACTCATTCATAACAGTTTCAGGTTGGGATCACTAAGCTAGCCCTATGTGTGGGTTAAAGATATTTTCTAACAAGATGAGGATAATTCTTCCTTTGGTCATGCTCCCCAGCCCCGTGCCAGTGAAGAGAGGGGTATTTCCAAGAAGAGAAACTGCAGACAGTGTCATGTCAGAGCAGCTGTTAGAGCGCTGGGCTGAGACTTGGCTCTCCTAGCTGGTCAGCTTACTGTCTTCGTGGTCATTAGTTGGCACTGAAATGTCCAATGTGTCCTTTCTGGCAGGGATTTGAAGACATGCTAGAAAGAAATTTATTCTCTTTTCTAGTGAGCTATCACAGCTGTAAAAAAGTGTGTTGGAAGGTTAAATCAAATGACTAAAACATGTTATACAATAAATTGTACAGTGTTACAAAAGTTGATCATATACAGAAAGGAGACATAAATGCATATGTGAACAATACATACATATGTGTATATTTATCGGTTCATCTTTTATCTATTTAATGTTGCTGAGTTTTCTAAATTGTTCATATAGTGTTTTCATAAACATCGCTTTGATAGTCTGAAGAGCTTTTGTGCAAACAAGACACTAAATTTAGGAATGTTAATTGTCCCAATATCATAATTACGCTCTCTAATAATAGAGATGCTGTTTCTCGTTAGGAAATGAGAAGCTATGAAGACATTTTCACAGTAACAATTCCATTTAATGATAAAGTCCAGTGGGGGCTAGCACACTCCAGTCTATGCTGAGTACATTTTTCATAATGTCTTTACCAGTTGAAATCCCAGGGGACAAGGGTTTTCCCCCCAGATCTAAGCATTTGTTGCCTTATAGGAATTTCAGTTTGAACTCCCTGGTGGCTAATGATATTGAGCAATCTATCAGTTCATTCTTGTGATGATGTGGGAGTGGGGGGGGGGGGGAGTTAAGTTTTTGAAATTCTAATGGAAGTTCCTAGAGAAAATAACAATCTAAAAATAGAACTACCAATCTATTCCTGTAACACCGAGAAATTTTCACAGCAACATTTATTGCGGCATTCTTCACAACAGCCAAGAATGTGGAACCAATTTACATGTCCGTTAAAACACAAATAGATAAAGAAAGTGTGGTAATATGTACAATGGAATTCCATGTAGCCATAAAAAAGTGATATTACATTTTCAGGAAATGGGTGCAACTGGAAAGCAATTAAAAGACAGACTAAAAAGAAATCAAAATAAGACACTTAAAAAGCAACTACCACATGGCTTCTTGCAAGCAGAACTTAGATTTATAATTCTATGTATGTATCTTTATAATTTTGTTTAATTATACACAACTCTTATTTATACATGTGTATATAGCAATGCATGTGAAGTAGGCAGAAACAAACTAGCTAGATGGAGGTATGAGAGAAAGCAATAGGAAGGAGAACAGAGCAATAGGAAGGAGAACACAGGTACCCTGATGAAAGACTTTAATTTGCACAATAACTGACTGAGACAGGATGCACAAGACCTGTACAAGTTCAAACCAAGGCAAAATCCCAGCACAGAGATGGGGAAATAGACGAAGTTCTTGTACTAAGAAGCTGTTTGGAACTGCTGCCTGCTGGGAAAGGAAAAAATCCGTTTTCTCCAATAGAGTGACACTGTAGGGCAGGCCCCATACACAATGGTAGGTAGTTGGCCAATACAAAATTGACTCCATAGATATTTTTTGTGCTTTTTAGATTTTTTTCTCTTACTATTTTGTTTGTTTGTAATTGGTACTGTGGTTTTGATCTTCATTTGTTTGTTTTGAGAGAGAACATGAAGTTGGGTGAAGAGGAAGGTGGAGTAGATCCGGGAAAAATTGGGGGAGGGAGGAGAAAGAATATGATGAAGATTGTATGGAAATATTTAAATAATAAAAAAGACTTAAGGTTCATTTTTACCACAAAAGGTGTGAATTAAATTAGCCAATTATGACTCTTAAAAGAAACATCCCCAATTACTCTCCAGAGTTGCTATGTGTGGTGTTCTGTGGACTTTGCTTGAACTACATGTATAACTCTGGTGTGATTTTTTTTTTTTTTTCAGGATAAAGATGAGAGGTAGAGAAGTCAGCTGCTTACTGATCTCCCTCACCGCAGTCTGCCTTGTGGTCACCCCTGGGAGCAGGGCCTGCCCCCACCGCTGTGCCTGTTACGTGCCCACAGAGGTGCACTGTACTTTTCGGTATCTGACCTCCATCCCAGACAACATCCCCACCAATGTGGAACGCATAAATTTAGGGTGCGTGGGCCTTGCCTGATCCTCTTCTCAGAAAGGGACCAGTGATCATCCTGGTGATTTATCACCCAGACACCTGTGATTACTTTCAATATTTTTCTTCTCAAATGAGCTTGTTAAGAGCCTTACTTTTGTGGTGACAATAAACATTTTTTTTTCCTGGTAGTCTTTTACTAGAACCTAGAGACCCTTTTAGTTGTCTGGGAGCCTCATAATTGTAGGGTAGCTTCATTCTGAATAAATTTCTCCTGGAAAAGATTACAGTTTCTATTAGCAATCATTGTTATGGTACAAGGTATAACCAAGCAAGTAGAACTGTCCTCCTCTGTAAAAACAAAATCAAAACAAAGCAAAAAAACAAAAGTCCAACCATTTCTTTTTGCAAGGCCATTTGAGATGTGTAAATGCCCACACCCAGAACACAATATAGCCATTGTCATTAGTGGCATATTTAAAATACTTAACTAAGTCTGACAAATCATGGTGATATTTTAAAGGTTTATGAAAAATTGTTTGTATGTGTAAGTGCCCAAGTAATGGGATACATCATCACCAGTGCGGCGTTAGTGAGCACCTAATAGCCAAGCACTATTATGTACCTTGGAAGGAGGTGATAAAGAGGTGTGACAGATGTAATCAGAGCAATGCAACAAGTATTATAACAGCATACACAGTGCCTTGGAAGCAATCACCAACAGGAAAGACTGGCTGTTTTCTCCCTATAAGCTATCTTGGTCCGAGCACTCTGCATGTATTCATTCACTTGTTGTGCTGGCAAGGTTTATGTTAACTCAACACAAGCTAGAATCCGTGGAGGGGAAGGAGCCACAACTGAGAAAATGCTTCAAAAAGATTAAATTATAGGCAAGCTTATAGGGCATATTCTTAATTACTGATTTATGGGGCAGGGCTGACCAATTATGAGTGGTGCTGTCCCTGAGCAGGTAGTCCTGGGCTGTATCAGAAAGCAGCTGAGCAAGCCATGAGGATCAAGTCAGCAAGCAGCACTCCTCCATGGCCTCTGCTTCAGTTCCTGCCTCCTGATTCCTGCCCTGAGTTCCTGTCCTTACTTCCTCCAGTGATGAAGTGCTGTGGAAGTGTAAGCTAAATAAACCCTTTTCTCCCCAACTTGCTTTCGGTCATAGTGTCTCACCACAGCAATAATGATCCTCGCTAAGACACTGGTGTTCATAACACCTTTGGACTAGATTCTGTTATTTATACATTATAGCTGAGGAAACTGGAACACAGAGAGTCTCCAGAGTTGTACACGCCATTTTGGGGTTGGAGCTCAGAATCACACCCATGTGTACTCCAGTGCCCATGCTTCTTAACCATTGATTACCTCTACCTGCTTACAGAATGGCTTTAGTCTTACGGTTCAGAAAGAGAAAATGATAGTCTTAAGCAGATGCCGATATATGTATAAAATTTTGAGAACAGGAAGGATGATTATGAGGCTGCCAGGATTGGGTGGAAAGTAAAGCCTCTGTAGCCAAGTTCAACATTTCACATGTTTGAAAAATCTCTTGGGAAAAGAATTGAAAAAAAAAAAGGATTTTCTATATGTTTCTGTGTTGCACTTCAATTGACATACTTAGCTGATGCCTAAACTGGTTCTTTTTTTCAGGTATAACAGCCTATCTAGATTGACAGAAAATGATTTTTATGGCCTGGACAAACTGGAGTTACTCCTGCTGCACAGTAACGGTGTTCATACAATCGCCGGCAAGACCTTTGCAGGCTTGCCATCCTTGCAGGTGAGAGGGGAGAAGCTGATGGAGGGTTAGAAGTGAGGTGGAACTCAGAGAACCCCAAAGCTGCCTATAACCGTGCAATAGAAAATGGACCTTCTGTAAACTACAGGCAGACATCAAGGAAGTATTTCAATTGTAATGCAATTATATGTAGAAATTTGAAAAGTAAGAAAATGCTGGGGGACTGAGTAGATATTTCAGTTGGTAAAATGTTTACACAAGTATGAGCATCTAAATTTGGATCTACAGTTGCCACATAAAAAGCACAGCATAGTGGCAAACAGCTGCCATCCCAGACCTGGGAAGCAGCTGTAGCAGAATCCCAGAGACTTATTGGCCAGACCCACTAGCTGAACTCAAGTTCTCTCAGTGAGAGAACTTGACTTAAAACTAATATGGAATGAGCCAAGGAAGAGACTCAACATCTGGCCTCTACACCTGCATGCATGGGGAAGAAAAGCAAAAGGCAAGAATGGAGGGAAGGTAGGGTAAGGGAAGGGAAGGGAGAAAAGAGAGGAAGATAGATTCAGAGACAAGTTCTTTCACACTCCTCAATTAACAAAAATCAGTTTCCAGGCATTATTAAACTTTAATATTTATCCATAAAAGGCCATTTCTAGCTGTTTTTCTGAAAATAGAATAGGATCCCTTAAAATAAGGACAGTCTTTAACATGGTAGTATTTTATAAATCATAAAATTTCAGTTTTCTTTATTGACTTGTTTGTCCTCTGCCATCTTCAAACTGAAGTTACAAGTACTCCCATAAATGAATAAAATGTGTAAGGGTTATCACACATCTAAGTGGAAAACTAAGGATTGAACAAGTCTTGCAATAAGAATAATGAGAATGAAAGAGAATGCACATGGAACCCTTGCTCTGCTTATAACCTTGACACTTTAGAGAAGCAAATTCATGCTGCATGATGACTATTGAGCTCCTTAAGTAAACAAACCCCCTGTTCATGAAAAGCATTATAAAGTACCAATGTCCTATAACGTTCATTATCATTTGCATACAGCAAATGACAGCAATCAAAGCAATAATATCCACTGTTCACAGAGCCTTTAATCATCAAGCTGGAGCTGTTTGGTATTTTGAGATAGGGAGCATGGGGTGCATGTATGTGACGTTGTTGATTTAGCTAGACCACAGTGCATTTCGGACATGTGTCTTCAGGAGGAATTGATCATGTCCTCTTTGTGAAATTTTCTGCTTGTGTTTATTCTCATAGCCGGGTTTTTCTCTGACTTAGAAACACCAGGTTTGAGATTGCACTCCCAGGTAACAGTTATGGCAAAGCTTCCCTATATTCTCAGTTTGGCTTTTATTTATTATAAAGATTGGCATTTCAGGAAAACCTCTTTTGTAGAGAGGACAATTTAGGTCAAATCAGAAAAATGGGTGGAAATTTACAGTTTGTTTGTATTATGATTTCATATTCTTTTCTTGTTTAAAAATAAAATAATACTATGTTTAGAACTGAATAGAAAAGGATTAGAAACATCAGAAAGGGATTTGATGAATACTAAAGCATCATGAAACATTCAAAGTCATTTGGCTTCCAAATCAGAATCAATCAAATTCATATTACTGAAAAAGAGAGCATGCCAGATGTCCACCACCTGATGAGAAGATAAACAAAATGTGTAACATGCACACTGTGCAGAAACAAAAAGGAATGAAGGGCTGATATGCACTAAAACATCTTGAAAACATTTGGCTAAGTGAAGGAAGCCAGGCATGAAAAACCACATACTATGATTCTATTTATATGGAATGTTTAAAATATACAAATCCTTAGAAACAGACAATAAATTAACTGTTGCTTAGAGTAAGGAAAAGACAAAAAAAAAAAAAACAAAACTAACGATAAGAGTTGGTCTTAACTTAGAGAAATGACAATTTCCTAAGATAAGATAGCAGAGCCCTGTGGATAGTCTAAAAACCAGTATGCTTTGCTGTGAGAAGGGCTTACAGGAAGGCCACGAGGGAGAAAAATAAGGGAGTAGGACAAGAGAGTCATATATCACGGCCTCTCTCATAAGTGAAATCTAGATATATTAATAGACTGACATAAAAGCAGAAAGGAATCATTTACGAAAGGATGAGAAAACAACAGGAGTAAGAGGGGGCCAATGGGAAATGGGGGGCGAATATGAGCAAAGTACAATGATATATGTGTTTGGAGGTGCCATAATGAAACCTTTTGTTTTGTTTGCTAATTAAAACCACTAAAATCTAAAAACAAGACATTTTTGCATGTAAATTATATCTCAATAAAGATATTATAAATGGGAGAAACTGAAGTCCATAGATAGTCTTATAAATCCTAAATTTATTTAAAGTGGTTCTTTAGTTTACTACTGCAACAGCTACTACGATTGTTATTAATGCTTTTCACCATACAAGAAAGTGGGCAGAAGAGTGTAATCAATTTAGTTCATCAATCTAGGGGAAGGGAGATAACCAGCCATGTGAAGGTGGAGGCACAGGAGAGGCCAGTGAGAGGGAAATGAGTGAGAAAAACATGGACACATGCACAAAAATTACATAGTGCAACTCATTACTTTGTAGCCTAATCTGAACAAAGAAAATAGAAATAGTAAGAACACAGCAGCGCACTTAGCACCCAGCCTCAACAGTGATCGATGTGTTTGTTGATAGACCCTGCCTCACTTGGTACTCTCTGCACCATATTCCACTTAGCTGTTTTGAATCCAATCCAAATAACGGGAAATCTTATACAGAATTAAAGATGAAAAAGACTTTAAATGTAACCATGACATCTCTGTTTTACAGACTATATCTTTAGCAATACCTTCTTAACATTAACAACGGCTTGTGTGTGTTCTAATTTCTCTAATATTGTCACATTTAAATGGCAACTTGTTTGAATTCGGTTTTCATTAAGGCGTGCATATTCCACAGCATTAATCTCAACACATCTCTATACTCATAAACTTCTATCTTCTGTGAAAGCTCCCTTGACAGAGCAAATATTGTTTTTATCTTTACTTACAGGTCTTAAAAATGAGCTATAACAAAGTCCAAATAATTCAGAAGGATACTTTTTACGGGCTGAGGAGCTTGACACGGCTGTACATGGATCACAACAGCATCGAGTTTATCAACCCTGAGGCTTTCTATGGACTCACCTCGCTCCGCCTGGTACATTTAGAAGGAAATCAGCTCACAAAGCTCCACCCAGACACATTTGTCTCATTAAGCTATCTCGAGATATTTAAAACATCTTTCATTAAGTACCTGTACTTATCCGATAACTTCTTGACCTCCCTCCCGAAAGAGATGGTCGCCTCTATGCCAAACCTAGAAAGCCTCTATCTACATGGAAACCCATGGACCTGTGACTGCCATTTAAAGTGGTTGCCTGACTGGATACAGGGGAAGCCAGGTATCTATACTGTTTGCTTTTTAGCACTAATCAAAAAGAGGAATCAGGTGGAGGAGCTTCATCTGTAATGGGAATTCCTAGATAACGGAGATGCAGAATATGAAGTCCCCAGAATAATCCAGTGACAATGAACTCTGTATGTCCACAGCTGTCTTTGTGCCCCAGGGAGACATTAGGAAGCTATGCCTGAGAGGCTACCAATCTTTACTACTTGGCATTCTGTGTGAAAACTTTGCTCTTCTGTGGCTTAGAGAATCAAGCCCATGCCTCTTGGCTCAACTGTCAGGTCCTCTAGTGTGGCCCAGGCCTGTCCTCAGCCTCTCTAACATCGCTCAGCCCCTCCCCTTCCTATGTAATGTGTCTTCCAGTGCCAGACACATTACATCATCCCTGCCTATACCTCTTTCCTCCCTTTTCTGCTTGATATGCTCTCAGATGGCAGCCCTGCTCAGCATTACAGGGAGTTGTGCTGCTCAGGTACCCCACCCACATCAGAATCATGACCTCATCATTCCTGCAGTTTGCCTGTGTTTCCATTATACAATACTTATAGGATTAATTTATAGAATGGAATGTCTGCTGCCTTTTACTGGGTCTCATTTATCTATCTCTAGCCTCTGCAATATATCTAGGACACTGTATATACCTAATACTTTTTGTTAAATACTGTATAGCCATTTACATGGTTAAAAAAAAAAAAGAAACAAAATTCACCATCTCTCAGTTATCCATGGTCTTAATATGCCTCAAACATGTATGCATGAAAATATGTAAAAATATACATATGTGTGTCATGTGCCAATACACAATGCACAAATGTGTCATATAGTTACACATATATATGTCATATATAAACAAACTTTAAAAAAATTCTAATATTATTAATTATAATTTATTCACTTTGTATCCCTGCTGTTTTGCCTCCCTCCCTCATCTCCTCCCAGCCCCACCCTCCCTTCCTCTCCCCCTCCATGCCCCTCCCTAGTCCACTGATAGGGGAGGTCCTCCTCCCTCCTATCTGACAAACGTTTTAGGGATAAAATCTTTCGGCCATGTCTAAACGACAGGTTCCCGTGTCTTGTGATGGATAACTGACATTTTCACAAGACTTTATAAATCAATCAAATCACCTTTATACTTAGAAATCTTTCATCTGCCCTCAGCAGTCTAAAAGCCTCCTCACAGCCCCAGTGTGGCAGTTTCTCCAACATGTGCTGCAGCCCGACGCTAATTTATTCAGATGTAGTTGCATCTTTCATCCTATGGTTCCACAAAACTCTTGGGGCTGCTTTTGTACAAGCACAGACTTTTGCCATTTTCCTGACATGTGTTTGTTCACAGATATAAAACTTGAGTCTTGCTGCTCTTCTCTTATGCATAGATCTATGTTTGTAACCTCTTTGCAAGGCCAAATCACAGTGTAGTGTTCAGAAAACCATCTCAAGTAGCAAAGTTAACAAATGCGTGCTACAGAATTAAAGACAATATACAAATTTATAACAATTTGGGGAGGGGTATACAGATGGTAACAGCCGTATAAAGACTGCAAGTGGCCAGTTTCTACCAGAGGACATCTTTGTATCTATTTATAAGTTAAAATGTATAAACATCAGGCTGTAAGAATTAGTCCTGCCAGCTGCCTGCCTTCCTGACATTTCCCTTCATCCTTCTTTCTTGCTCACTCCTCCTTCCTTACCCTCTTTCCTGAACTGCATCTTCCTTGGACATCCCTTGGCCAGGGATCTGACATACAGAACAAAGAGAGCTCACTCTCCTGTGGGAAGGCAACCACCAAAAGAAGACATTCCAGTGGTGCGTGCTGAAGGGGCCACCAGGAGAGGTAAAGCAGAGAGCCCTCTGGAAATGAGTGCTGACCAGACTGAGTCCTTGAGGAGTGTGTAATGAATGGGTTATAGCGCCGAGCATGTTAGACAGACAGCTCATGTTACTGGCTTGGCATAAAGTGACAGGGCTGGGCCACAGAAAGCACTTGTATGAGATTGGAAACTGATGTGAAGGGAATGAAGTGACTCAGTCAGATTTGCGTCTGAGCAAACGAGGCCTGTTAACTCTGGTCCAGGTACAAGCAGGGGTAAGCATCTCCAGATTTGAGTATAACTCTGTGATGGGATTTAACTAAGCCAGAAGTCAGTGATGCTTTCTGCTTCATGAGGTCAGATCCAGGGCAGTGACAAGCAGGTTAAGGGACACAACCTGTCAGTAGGTGGCACTGGAAGGAGCTTCTTGTGATTGTTCAGAGCTTTTCTTTCTACCTACCTACCTCCTCTGCACAATTGTTTGGTACAAAATTTGGTGAACAATGGCTGTGAGATTAGCTGGCACACCAAAGGATAGTGGTGCTCCCTTCTCCATGAAGGATACATTCCAGGGCTTGCAGTAGATGCTGAAAACCATAGTCTGTGTCAAACAATACCATGTTTGTTTCTGCTCACTGTGGCCCCAGCTTTTGAAGTTTAAAGTACGGTAGCAAAGTTAATGCAAGTGTCTTTCATTCTTCCTAATTTCACAGCTACATTCTCATCATAAACCATGAAACTTCAGCATGTCTGTAACATCTTGTTTTGGTTTCTCTCGCCTAAATTGAGAAGTTTCTTCTGAAAGGAATCATGTCCACCATAGCTTCTCTTCAGCATATCTCATTGCCAGCATCATTACTCTTGAGTCTGAGGATATTATTAATAAAAGAAGGATTACTTGGACACAGACACTATGATACCATGAGAGTTTATGTGATGCCTGAGCTATCTAGAAGCTACTAAGCATGGAGCATATTCTGTGTGCATACACTAGAAAAAAGAATTATGTCCTGTAACAGGGGTTGGGCCCACTGAGACAACATGAGACTTTATCAGGATGCTCAGAACTTCATGCAATTTTAAACATGTTTATTTTGGAAATTTTCCAATTCATATTTTCAGTAGGAAGAGGACTTGTACACACAGCTGAGGGGATTAGTGTGACTTTTTAGGGCCTTTACAATAAAACTGCACATATGAAGCTGTTCTCATGAGTTACATCTAAGACAGCTAATGTTTCTCTTACCTACTGTGTTTGGCAAATGGTGTAGGAAATACTATGAAAGACAGCATAGAAGTTTCAGACTATGCTTTATTTAGAGAAAACTCTACATCCTTTATCTAGCATTGAATGACAAGCTTTTAAAAATGAGCTCTTCAGAGCGGTCTTTAAAATTTCCGAATAAATCTCATCTCAGCGCCTGGACAGGGCTCCTCTGTGATTGAAAGTATATGACTTGCAAGCTCTGACCTTACCGTACACAGTTCCCCCACCCAAAAAGAAAAAAAAAAAAACAACTTGGTTCTCTACTACTGAGTCCACCTCATCTAACAGGACCATCACTAAATAAACCTGGGCTGTCCATTTCAGCTACTTTCCATGTTCTACCAAATACTTACAACTTATTGGCTTGTTCTATCTGCATCTGTGTGTTCTGTTTCTGTCTACATCTCTCCATTCCTAGTTCTACGAAGCTAGAACATAAACTATTCATTGGCTAATGGAAAAATGCTTGTTTTTTTTTTTTTTTTTGGGGGGGGTGTTATTGTTATCCCAGGACTTAGAGATTTTTAACCAGGTAACCTTTTAAAGTATAGTAAAGTTGTATGCCTGTCGTAAAACCTTGGCATGAGGAACTGAAGTGTTATCAATCTAAGTACTGAACATGATCTATGATTTTGTTTCTTTAGATAAGGAAATGTTTCATTCAACTAATACTTATCAAGTACTAAATATATATCCAGGTCTTTCTGGGCATAATCAATGCAGCTGTGAATAAGGAAAGTAAAACCCCTGTACCTGTGCATATTATATTGTAGCATGATATGTAGACGATATATTTTTAGAAATGATTTCAGAAGCATAAAACACAGTAACTTAGTCATTAGATATTAAATTTTCCAAATTGCTGTTTTAAGTCCTAGTGAAAACATTTCTTCAACATGTTCATGTGTTAATTTATAAAGAGACCAAAACTTGTGAAAATAATTGTGACTTTTTTTTATCCCTAGATGTAATAAAATGCAAGAAGGACAGAAACTCCTCTAATTCTCAGCAATGCCCCATTTGCATGAATCCTAGGGTCTCTAAAGACAGACCCCTTGCTATGGTACCAGCTGGAGCTTTCCTATGTACAAAGCCAATCATTGACCCATCACTGAAGTTAAAGGGCCTGGCTATTCAGGAGGACAATGGATCTGCTTCCATTTCACCCCAAAATTTCATAGAACCTTTTGGCTCCCTGTCTTTGAACATGACAGACCTCTCTGGAAATAAGGCCAATGTGGTCTGTAGTATCCAAAAGCCATCCAGGACATTGCCAATTGCATTCACTGAAGAAAACGACTGCATCAGTCTAAATACCTCATTTTCAACAAATCTGGTGTGCAGTGTAGACTATGATCACATTCAGCCAGTGTGGCAACTTCTAGCTCTGTACAGTGACTCTCCTCTGATATTAGAAAGGATGGCACAGCTAACTGAGACTCCATCACTGTCTTCCAAGTATAAACAGGTGGCTCTTTTGCCTGAAGACATTTTTACCAACATAGAGGCTGATTTCAGAGCAGATCCTTTTTGGTTTCAACAAGAAAAAATTTTCTTGCAGCTGAACAGAAATGCCACGACACTCAGCACATTACACATCCAGTTTTCCACTGATGCTCAGATCACGTTACCAAGGACAGAGATGGGAGTGGTGAAACTCAAATGGACCATGATTCCGATGGTGAACAACACCAAACTGGAACATACTGTTTTGGCTGGTGGCACTATTGTGTTGGACTGTCCAGGCCAAGGTGACCCTGCACCGCATTTGGAATGGCTTCTAGCTGATGGGAGTAAAGTGAGAGCCCCTTATGTTAGCGAGGATGGGCGAATCCTAATAGACAAAAATGGAAAGTTGGAACTTCAGATGGCTGATAGCTTCGATACAGGCCTTTACCACTGTATAAGCACCAACTATGCAGATGCTGATATTCTCACATACAGGATCACTGTGGTAGAGCCCTATGTAGAAAACATGCATGAAAATGGCATTCAACAAACAGTGGCTGCTGGTGAGACACTTGATCTGCCGTGCCTTTCCACTGGTATTCCAGATGCTTCTATTAGCTGGATTCTTCCAGGAAACACTGTGTTCTCTCATTCTTCCAGAGACAGACAAATTCTTAACAATGGGACTTTAAGACTATTACAGGTTACTCCAAAAGACCAAGGTCATTACCGTTGTGTAGCAGCTAACCCATCAGGGGCTGATGTTTCCATTTTTCAAGTGTCAGTCCAAATGAAAGGCCAAGCTGAGCATGATAAAGAAGCAGATGGATCTGGACTCGGAGAACCCAGTCCCAGTGTTCCCCCTAAGCAGCCACTATCTCTGAAAGTCTCCACATCAGCTTTGACGGGGTCAGAAGCTACAAAACAAGTCTCTGGCGTACACAAGAAAGACAAATACAGAGACTTAATACATCAGCGGCGTGGGGATTCCACACGCCGGCGTTTCAGGGAACACAGGAGGCAGCGTCCTCTCTCTGCTCGGAGGATTGACCCCCAACAGTGGGCAGCACTTTTAGAGAAAGCAAAAAAGAATTCTGTACTGAAGAAGGAAGAAAACACGACAGTAAAGCCAGTGCCGCTGGCTGCCCCACGTCTGGTGCTTCCCGGTGACAGAGAAGATGCTTCTGGCATGATTTCTCTAGATGAAGAATCCACGGTTCTGAAAATGAAGGCTTCTGGCATGCCCGAAAGGTCCCTAGCTGCTGACTCTAAAGCAGTGAATCATGGCTCTGTGACAGGTGTAACTAACGGCACAGAAGTCTCCTCAACTGTGAATCCACCAACACTACAATCCACACACCTCCCTGATTTCAAATTATTTAATGGTATCGGCATCACAGCTGTGTCAAAGAGTATAAGGCCAACCATAGCAAGCAAAATGGAAGATACAGCCAACCAAAATCCAACCATCCCCTTTCCATCAGAAACAGTTGTCACTGAAATTCAAGACTCTACTCAGGTAGGGAGGAGAGCATCTTCCCAAAGTGCATACCCAGTAACACGGGAAGCCATGGCTGCCACTGGCCATCCCAACAGGTTTAGTAGCGTCACCAACAGAGCCGATATAGTTGTGCAGTCAGCGAATCCAGCAGAAAGTTACGAGCATCAGATGCCTCTAACAGGAGTCAGCAGAGCCGGGAGTAGTGACACCTTTTCTCATGCTACTGGAGGTCCTAGCTTCCCCAAGCCCCTCTCAGATTCACACACTGCTGCCCCTTCTCTGCTTCACATTCCTAAAAACAATACAGCTAATGTCCCCTTGTCCAGGCACTTGGGAAGAGAGAGGACAACTTGGAACAGAGGGCGAGTTGCAAGCCCACACAGAACCCCCGTTCTCCGACGGCATAGATACAGGATTGTGAGGCCAGCACTCAAGGGACCTGCTAACAGAAACACTAGTCAATTTTCAGCCACAGAGGCCCATGGGATGTGCCAGACCTGTTCTCCCACAGAGAGGCCCACTCTGTCTACCGCAGCACTGTCCGTTCCAGATTTATCCCTCAGCACGTTCTCCAAAGCTAATGATGCTGGGGTCCTAGCAGAAGAGCCTACCACTGTGGTCAAGAAACCACCATTACTATTTAAGAACAAACAAAATGTGGATATTGAGACAATAACAACCACTGTAAAATATTTCACAAGTGTAAGCACCCGAGTGACTCCTCCTAAAGTTAACATGACTTCTGCTCCAACACCTGTATCCCTGGAAACAACTACTATAAACAATAGTGGTTACCAGAGCACATCTAGGACCATCCAAGCTGAAAAAGCTTCAAACGTAACATCACCACACTCCAGTCCCCTTACCAAACCCTCAATGCCAACCAAAGCAACAAGCACAAAACTCTCAAGGAGGAAAATTCCCTGGCACCAGGTCTTTGTAAATAATCATGGCAAAAAGGGGATGTCAAAGAATCTGCAGCAATTTGATTTACAAAAGAACACAGCTACAATGTTTCCCAAAACTGCTCCTCTTTCACCCACAGAGGCTGGCTCCCCCTCACATTCTGCAATGCTCTCTGCAAGTTCTATGGCATCACCGTCAGCAGCCATAGCTGCCACTCACCATGATGCCACGGAAGCACAAGGCATCACTAGTCTCTCAGCAGGAAAGGAGCAGCCCCTCGCCACCTCCTACCCAGTGCTTCCCAGTACCATAAGCAAGAGATCTACAGTGAGCTTCCTGTCAGTCGAAACAGCCACACGGACAACTCCTACTGCCCCTACATCTGTTATTAGCTCTGAAACCCAGAGAGCAAGATCCAGGAAAGCAAAAGAACAAATAAAGGGGCCTCGGAAAAACAGGAAGAACCCAAACAGCATCCCTAGGCAGATTTCTGGCTCTACCATGTACCCAGCTCCAACAACAGCTGATACTTCCTTGGCTTTTACACATTCCCCACTGCATGACACTGGTAACACTGTGAGCACAGCTGCTCCTCACACAGCCACCAATCTCCTGGGCATAACTGAAATATCCCAGAAGAGCACTCAGACTTTGACAAATACAACAGGTTCAGAAAGAACTTTGTTCAGCAAATCACAGGAGAGTACCACAATGAAAAGAGCCTCAGCCATACCACCATTCCCCAGTAGTGGGGTGATCCCAAGGCCCATTCTTTCCCCTCCTCCCTTTACTAACGGTATGGTTACAGACAGCGAGGTCGCATCGGCTTTCAACATGGCAACAAATAGAATGTTCACCATATACGAGTCCTCAAGGCACAATACAGATCTGCAGCAATCCTCAACAAAGGCTACCCTAAATCCTGAGGTCATAACTGGAGCCACTGACTTCCCATCCACTATTCTGTTTCCCTCCACTCCTATGCCAGCTCTAAGAAAGGATACACCACAGAATTCTAAATGGAAGCCCTTGCCTTGGCCAGAAAACCAGTTTCAGCTCAAGTCATATTCAGAAACTACTGAAAAGGGTAAAAGGCCAGCTCTGAGCACGTCGCCCCCTCTCAGCTTTCAAGGGGCCAGCACTCATGCCCTACAGTATGGACAGAACCATGCAGAGAAGAGTGTCTCTGATAAGAAACCTGTTCAAAATCCAACTCCCAAACTCCTTCCCCATGACTCACTACCTAGGACTGTACTGGAAAAACCAAGAATCGTTGGAGGAAAGGCTGCAAGCTTTACTATTCCAGTTAACTCCGATGCCTTTCTTCCCTGTGAGGCTGTTGGAAACCCCCGGCCCACCATCCGCTGGACCAGAGTCTCATCAGGTATTTAGAACTATTAACAATACCTTAATTATAAAACAAGGACATGACTATCTCTTTCAGGGTTGTTTTTAAAGAACCAATACTAGTTTTGAATTACTCCAAAACACAGAAACTATTAATTTCTTCATTTGACATTTGCATACATTTGCATGTTGCTCATTAGAAGATTTTTTTTTTAGATTTTAAGTGTATATGTGTGTGCTGGCACATGTGCGTGCGCATGTATGCACATATTAGCACAAGTGCTTTAGGAGAGAGGCACCAGATTCCCTGGAGCCAGAATTCTCTCTCCAGCTCCTATTAGAAGGTTTTAAACTTTAAATTTATTTTGTGTGCATGAGTGCTTGGTCTGCATGTGTGTATATGCACACACATGCCTGGAGTGAACGCAGGCCAGGAGAGGAGTTCACACCTCCTGGAATTTGAATTACAGATGATTGTGAGCCACCATGTGGGCACTGAGAACTGAGACCAGGTCCTCTGTAAGAGAAGCAAATACTCTTAACTGCTGAGCCATCTCTCCCACCCCAACTAGAAGGTGTTTTTGTTTGTTTGTTTGTTTGTTTGTTTTTAAATAATGTGTTAAGAACAGTTTGGGGGATAGAACAGGTAGATGGGTCCATGTATAAATGGCACCTATCGCCAAGCCCAATGGCCTGAGTTTAGTCCCTGAAACAGACATGGAGAAAGAGAGAACCAACTCCCATAGGTGGTTTTCTTATCTCTACATACTGGCAATGGTATGCACGCACTCTCGTGTGCACGCACACGTCAATAAAATGTAATGAGAATGAAAGTTTAAAAGGACACTTGTTAAGACCAAATAGGATAGCACATGCCTGTACTCCCAGGAATGGGGATGGATTCAGCGCCAGCCTAGGCTATAAAATTAGAACCTGTCTCAAAAGAGCAGGCTGTAAAAAAATATTTAGGACCAATTATTTATCTGATATCAAATGGTCTGAACTAAAACGATGTATATTCAGGTCACATTCTATGGGCTGAGATTTTATTTATATATTTATGTATAAGTTATGTATATGTATATACATATACACACAAAAAATATATATAATCAACAATAATTAAAGAAAAAGGGACCATAAATCTGAAAAAAGAGCATGAGGGGCTACATGGGAGGAGTTGGAGGGAGGAAGGAGAATGGGTGAAATGATCTAATCATGTGGCAATATCAAAAATAAAAATCTTACAATAAATAAAAAATTTGTTAAAGCCACAGAATACTTTTAAAGTAGATTATATATATATATATGATTATTATATATATAATAATCTTACATAGAGAAATGTAAGGTTATAATTTTACATAATATAATTTTATATAGAGAAATGTTATGTTGAACTATACACCTGTTAAATTTAAATGAGTAAAAATTTGAGAAACAGCTTTAGCTATCTGAAGACATTTTTTTCAGTTTAAATATATTTGTTGTCAGCTTAACCAAACATAGCTTTATGCTTTTTATTTAGTCTTTGATGATGATGAACTATATGCATAATTTTTTTTTCATCTTATAAGGACTTGAAGTATCCCAAGAGACACAGAAAAACAGGTTCCACATACTTCCCAATGGCACCTTGTCCATTCGGAGGGTCAGTATTCAAGACCGAGGACAGTACCTGTGTTCTGCATCTAATCCATTAGGCACAGACCACTTTCATGTCACACTGTCTGTGGTTTCCTACCCTGCTAAGATCCAGGAGAGACAAGCCAAGGAGATCACGGTTTATTCTGGAAGTACTGTGGAATTAAAGTGCAGAGTGGAAGGTATGCCAAGGCCTACAATTTCCTGGGTACTTGCAAACCAAACAGTGGTCTCAGAAACATCCATGGGAAACAGAAGGGTCTGGGTAACACCCGATGGGACCTTGACCATCTATCATCTGAGTGTTTATGACCGTGGATTTTACAAGTGTGTGGCCAGCAACTCCGCTGGCCAGGATTCACTGTTGGTTAAGATACAAGTCATCACAGCTCCTCCTGTTATTATAGAGCAAAAGAGGCAAGCCGTCACTGGGACTTTGGGTGAAAGTGTGAAACTGCCTTGCACTGCAAAAGGAACTCCCCAGCCCCGTGTTCACTGGGTGCTCTCTGATGGGACTGAACTAAAACCACTGCAACTGGCTCGTTCCAAGTTTTTCTTGTATTCAAATGGGACTCTGTCTATTAAAAACATCGCTCCTTCAGACAGGGGCACTTACGAATGCATTGCCACCAGCTCTTCGGGTTCAGAGAGAAGGGTAGTGGTTCTCACAGTGGAAGAGCAAGAGACAGTCCCCAAGATAGAAATTGCCTCTCAAAAATGGACAGAGGTGAATTTGGGTGAGAAGTTACTTCTGAACTGCTCGGCTACTGGGGATCCAAAACCTAGAATAATCTGGAGGTTACCATCCAAGGCTGTCATTGACCAGTGGCACAGGTAAGCCTTCCTGTTAGAATTACCTCCTTTATTTATTTACCTGTACAACTTTTAAAATGCAAAAGAGGTACAGCGAGGCTTGCAGCAGCTTCAAAGCTCACACAGGATGTACAGGAAGGCAACTCTGTCTAAAAAAGGGCATTTCATTTGACAGCACTGAATACAGAAACACTCTTACATGCTTAACGCTGGGGTCCAGGTTCTTGACTAGGACAGTTAAGAACTATAGGGGAGCTTTATTAACCTTCATTCTGGTGGCTTTTTTTTCCTTTTTCCTTTCCCTGTGGCTGCTTTAAAAAAGATAACTGTGGAAAGCTATTCATAATTTCCATATCCAAAAGAGAACTGAGGTTGAGGCTCTATCAACAAGATGCTCTGTGTTTCACTCAGGGTCCTCTTATCAGAAGCTTCATACTTTAATCAGACCAGAATCCTTTCTTTCTTTAACTTGAAATGAACTTTATTAAAGGCATATTAAGAACTTCTCAGAGAGAAACATATTCAAGATTCCACGAAGGTGATGCTATCAGATACAATCCTTTTTCTACTATGCTCTTTTTAAACACTGGTATTCATTTATACTTTTCCCTAAATATTAAGTACTGTTTTTGAAAAGCAAAAACTGTAGCTTGTGAATTATAAATAGTTGTGATTTCTATGACTATGTGTACTGATTTTATATAATTCCAGAAAGACATGAACTGAGAACTTTTACATTTTTTAAAACATACATGCTTAGAAGTGGTATAGCTGGATCTTGAGGAAGCGCTATTCCTAATTGTCTGAGAAAGTGCCAGATTGATTTACAGAGCGGTTGTACAAGTTTACATTCCCACAAGCAGTGGAGGAGGGTTCCCCTTTTTCTATATCCTTTCCAGCACGTGTTGTCACTTGAGGTTTTGATCTTAGCCATTCTGATGGGTATAAGGTGAAATCTCAGGGTTGTTTTGATTTGCATTTCCCTGATGACTAAGGACATTGAACATTTCTTTAAGTGTTTCTCTGCCATTCGATATTCCTCTATTGAGAATTCTCTGTTTAGCTCTGTACCCCATTTTTAACTGGATTGCTTGATTTGTAGCTGTTTAACTTCTTGAGTTCTTTATATATACTGGATATTAGTCCTCTGTCAGATATAGGGTTGGTGAAGACCCTTTCCCAATCTGTAGGCAGTTTTTTTATTTTGAGGACAGTGTCCTTTGCTTTACAGAAGCTTTTCAGTTTCATGAGGTCCCATTTATTGATTGTTGCTCTTAGAGCCTGTGCTGTTGGTGTTCTGTTCAGGAAGTTGTCTCCTGTGCCAATGAGTTCAAGGCTCTTCCCCACTTTTTCTTCTAAGCGGTTTAGTGTGTCTGGTTTTAAGTTGAGGTCTTTGATCCACTTGGACTTTAGTGCAGGGTGATAAATATGGATCTATTTGCATTTTTCTATATCCAAAAGATGCTCAAGTATACAACAAGGACATTTGCTCAACCATGTTTGTAACAGCTTTAGTTGTAATAGCCAGAAGCTGGAAATAGCCTAGATACCCCTCAGTTGAGGAATGGATACAGAAATTGTGGCACATCTACACAATGGAATATTACTCAGCAATAAAAAAAAAAGGAAATCATGAAATTTGCAGGTAAATGGTGAGAACTGGAAAAGATCATCCTGAGTGAGGTATCCCAGAAGCAGAAAGACACACAGGGTATATACTCACTCATAAGTGGATACTGGACATATAATATAGGATAAACATACTAAAATCTGTACACCTAAGGAAGCTAATCAGGAAGAAGGACTCTGGCTAAGCTGCTCAATCGCCATTCAGAAAGGCAACGAGGATAAACATAAAAGGAGGGAGAAAACAGGGAACAGGAAAGGAGTCTACCACAGGGTCCTCTGAAAGGCTCTACCCTGCGGGGTATCAAGGCAGATGCTGAGACTCATAGCCAAACTTTGGGAAGAGTGCAGGAAATCTTATGAAAGAAGGGGGAGATAGTAAGACTTGGAGAGGACAGGAGCTCCACAAGGACACCAACAGTTCAAAAAAAATCTGGGCACAGGGGTCTTTTCTGTGACTGATACTCCAGCCAACGTCCACTCATGCGGATGGCCTGGAACCCCTGCACAGAGGTAGCCCAAGGCAGTTCAGTGTCCAAGTGGGTTCCATAGTAATGGGGACAGGGACTGTCTCTGACAGGAACTGATTGTCCTGCTCTTTGATCACCTCCCCCTGAGGGGGAAGCAGCCTAACCAGGACACAGAAGAAGACAATGCAGCCATTCCTGATGAGACCTGATAGACTAGGATCAGAGGGAAGGGGAGGAGGACCACCTTTATCAGTGGACTAGGGGAGGGGATCAGGTAGGGAAAAGGGAGGGAGAGTGGATTGGGAGGGAGGAGGGAGGAGGGAGAGAGCTACAGGGGCGATACGAAGTGAATAAACTGTAATCAATAGAAATAAAAATAATTTTTAAAAACATACATGCAATAAAAATTAAACATATATGAATCTATATGGACACCTGAACTCACAAGAGCTCCACCCGCCTCTGCCTCCCAAATGCAGTGGGTAAAGGTGTGTGCCCCACTGCCTGGGTCAAATTTGCAATTTTTAATTCAAATTTCTCAATACTAATTTTCAGTTTTTTTCGGGAATCAAAATCACCTTAGATGTTAAATTGTAATTCACGAAGATGTAAAGTTTTAAAATGCCAAGCTACAGAGTGTGAGCTCTAGGACCCACACTCACATGTATTGTCTTCCCATGTTGACATTCAGTATTTTCAATGTTTCACTTACCAGTTGGTGCTTCACAATACCAGCTGTCTCCTTCCCTCCCCTCAGTGTTGCTCCGAGTTACTGCAGCTCTATATGAATCATAGGATTGCTTTATTTACTTCCTTGAAGGAAGTGATTGGAATTTTGAAGGAATTTTCGTTGAACTGACAGGTTAACAATTCTTTTGACCTTAAGAGCGAGCAGTGGAAGCAGATGGAATCTTGTTCCAACCTAAGAACAAACACTTTTAGCCCTTTCTAATTCAGCATGATATTTATGGCAGACTTTTCACATATAGGCATTACTATTTTGAGGTATGTTCCTTTCAAATTGGTTGGGTTCTTATAAAAGAACAATAAGCCTTACCAAATGTTTTTTTTTTCTGCATCTCTAAAGAAAATCACATGGTTTTGTTTTTGATCATGATGTATTATTTATATCATGTTTATTGATTTGCAAATGTTAAACCATCCTAGCATTCCTGGGGTTAACCCTAACTGATCATGTTCTGTGAACGTTTTGAAATGCTGAATTCAGGTTTTTTTTTGTTGAGAAATTTTTGCATTATGTTCATCACGGATATGTGTCTAAATTTTTTTATTTTTTTGTTTTTGGTTTAGAATGAGGATAATGCTGCCCCTTTAAAAATACGTTGGCAGAATTCCTGGCATTCTATTCATACTCTAAGAAGAAATGAAAGGAACTCATTACATGTTTATATAAATCATAAGTACAGCTGTCAGGTACTAGGCATTTTTTATTAGATGGAAGACTTTTTATTACTGTTTCAACACCATTACTGTTTAATCTTCGTGACTAATTCCAGTAGGCTGAATACTTCCAGGAACTTGCCCAGTTCTTCTATGATTCATGTGATTTTGGCATATAATTATTTACAGTAGGTTTAAATAATCTTCTGTATTTCTGTAGCATGAGGGTTCTCTAGAGGAACAGAACTAGTAGATTAATGTATACTGAATAGGAATAAGATTGGCTTACACAACAAGGTCCAGGGAGTCCAACAATCACTGCCTTCACACTGAGAATACCAGTAGTCGCACTGTCCCTGAAGCTGAGTGTCATAGCCCCAGTCTGACTTCTGGTGTCAGCAAAAGCAGCTGCAGCCGAATAGAATGAGCTCACCAGAAACCAGGAGAAGCAGGCCAGATGCCTTTGACAACTTTTGCTTTGGACCGCCTTAATCTCTGCAGCTGCTGCTGGAAGACACTGTGCACACTTAGGGTGGGTCTTTCCAAGTCAGTTAATCAAAAACCACACCCCAGCCATGCCCAGAGCCTAATCTAGACAACCTAGATGATCCCCATAGGTGATTACAGGTCTTGTCAAGTTGATAACATTAACTGTTGTAATTACTTACAATGCTTCCCTTTCTGTTTATGTGACTCTGTTCTTTTTTTATTAATCTAGGTCAAGATTTAAAGAAGGTATTTAGCCTTTTTTAAAAAGGCTAAACTGCCTCTTTATAATTTTTTAGTTTTCATTTTTTAAAATTCTGATAATATTCATTAATTTGGGATTGGTTTGTCTTTATTTTCCTAAGTCCTTGAGAATGCTATGTTTGTAACCATTTTTTAAAACTTGTGTGTCTTGCTATAAATTTTTCTCAATACTGATTTTGCTGTACCACCCAGATTTAATAGTCTGTTGTGATTTTAACGTTCTTAAATTTCTTTCTCTAAGTTTTCAATTACACTCTGCCCAATTAGAGCATGTTATTTAATTAGCATTTATCTGTAGGCTTTTTCATTCAATTGAATTTTATTTATCTGAAAAAAAAACAACAGAATTTCAAGTTTTAAAAAATTTATCAAGGCTTGACATATGAGCTGTCCTAGAGAAAATTCCATGTGCCAATGAATGCCTGTTGCACTAGCTGGATGAAGTATCCTAAAAACGTGTGTTAAGATTAGTTTTTTTCTACAGTGTGGTCCCAATCAGACAGTCTTGGTCTTTCTTTTTTAATCCACTGAGAAATCTGGGTATTAAAATCTCGACTCTTACTGCTGGATGTAATTTTTTAGCTCTAATGTTTGCACTATATATCCAGGTGGTACCATACCTGGTGCATATGTGTATAACTGTTATATCATCTTTGTCCTAGTTTCTGTTGATGGTGCTGCAAACAATATGACCAAAAGCATTCTGGGGAAGAAAGGGTTTACTTCCGCTTGCAGGTTATAGCCCGACATTGAGAGTACTCAGGGTTGGAACTCCAGACAGACATTTGCAGGAACACGGAGGCACGTTGCTTGCTGGCTCATGTTCAGTTTCATTTATTACAGAGCCCAGTCCAAGTGCTTAGGAACGGTGCCAATTATGGCGAGCTTACCCACCAACACAGTCTTCCACAGACTCAGTCACAGGCCAGTGTGGTATGTGAAGATCAGATCCCTCAGTTGAGACTCTCAGTTAATTTTAGGCGAGTTGACAGCTGAAGCAAAGACAATCTTCTCAAATCAATGCTTTGTCTCTTTTTGAAGTTTTTCACCTCAAGGTTACTTTGAAATTCTCAGCCTTCTCCTAAGCAGATAAACTTCTTTTTTTTTATGTCACTGTTCTTCAAGTGTTGGTTAATGGAGGATGTTAGATACTATAACATCATTAGATCAGAGTTGATGTCCATCCCTTTAAATCAGTTGTTTTTAAGGGGCTGTCTCTTTACCAGTAGCATTAACATTGACCTGAGAGTGGAGGGGGATACCTGGAGAAGGAAAAGAGGGTGGTACCAGGAGGAGAGGAGGGGACTACAGTTGGGATGCAAAGTGAATAAATAAATAAATAAATGTATTTTTTAAATCTGAAAAAAAAAAAATAACCTGACTCAGAAGCAGTGATTGTTTTGACAAGGGTTCTATGTTCTTAGAAGCCCTAAGTAATTGTGATACACACAAAAATTTGAGTGTCTCAAGTGTAACTGCTCATAAAAGCAACCTGAGTTTTTTTTAACTCAGAAGTCACAGTCACAGATCTGTTGAATCTGAATCTCTCGAAAGAGAAGCCAGGTAATATGCATAAAGCTGGCCCCATTCAATGCTAAGACAGGTTAAGGGAGGGACTGTCAAGAACCAATATTTAGGGCTTTAGTCTCTCTCACATGACATTATTTTAGAAGCCCAATGCTTAGGGTCAACCCCACATCACTTAAGTCAGACATTCTAGCTTTGAAGCATAGGCTCCAAGTATTTCAAACTATACAATTTGAATTTTTAATAATACAACCAAATTTAAGAATAATTGCTTTTAGAATACATATTAACAACAGGTGAGTGTGTCACTAGACAAAAGACAGGCTTTCCTGAGACTCTAATCATATTTAGTCTCTACATTTCCTCTAGATATTGGGAGAAATACATGGATATTAAACAAACAAACATCTCTGTATGAATTACTTGGTAATTTCCTTCATTTGTGTGAATTATCATGATTTTACCTCGGTTTCTTTCCAGAGAATTTTCTTCCACACTTGAAATAAACAAAGAGCATACTGTTCCTTTTATATTACTCTCCATAAAGTACTCACCAGGTTGGAAAATGACTTGAGTCTGCTGAGTTGGTTATCTGTTATGCTCAGAGAAATCCTGGGCTGGCCAGACGGCAGTGAAGGTGCTTGCTTCTGCCCTGACCTGCACGCTCTTAATCTCTCCAGAACCCATTAGATACTTTTAAAATGCGTTCATTAAGAAGTTTTAAAGTTAATGTCCCTTAATTGATGGCAGCAGATGCAGAGACCCACACCCAAATACCAGGCACAACCAGGGGAACCCCTCAGAAGAGGAGGAGGAATTGTAGGAGCCAGAGAGGTCCAGGATGCCATAAGAACATGCCCATTGAATCAACTAAGCAAGACTCATAGGGGATCTCAGAAACTGAAGCAACAAACAGACACTGTATGGATCTGAGCTAGGTCCTCCACATGTACCTTCTGGTTGTGCAGCTTGTGTTCTTGTGGGACTCCCAGTGATGGGAGTTCTGACTCCACTGTCTCTGACTCTCTTGCCTGCACATGGGACCCTTTCCCCCTACTGGGTTGTCACATTCAGCTGTGACTTGAGAGTTTGAGCCCAGAGTTAATGTATCTTGTTATGCCACGTATGATGGATATCCCTGAGAGATCTGATTATTATTATTTTTTTTTGGAAGGGAAACAAGAGAACATCTAGGGTATAGGGGAGGTGAAGGAGGGACTGTTTGTAGTGGAGGGAAGGGAAAACTGAAGTCAGGATGTAAGGTATAAAAGAAGGATAAAAGTTAAGGGGGGGGGGAACGTTTGGGGCCAACTAGACAGCTCAGTCATTAAAGAAACCTACTGCCAGGCCTGATGACCCAAGTACACACACACACACACACACACACACAGGGGTGGGGGATGGAGAAGGAAGGGAGGATGGATAAAGCTATGGGCAGATAGCAACATGGACTGATAAATTAGTTTCATCTGTCTGTTTACCTGGTGCTATCAAAAGAATTAGAGAAAAAAACACCTGTCCTTGATTATGTTCTTAGCACTAAAGCTAGGCTCTTCCATCTGGTGGTCAAATGTGGCAATTACAGGCAATACAGAGCAGTCCACAGTGCGGGAGCAATGGGAAAACCAGCCCTTTTACAGCTGCCAAGACAGCAAGTGCTTTAGCTTCTAATGAGTGTTAGACTGCTGTCCTCTGTGGCAGGCAGAGGAGAGATTATTTTCTAGTTAAATAACTGAATAGTTGCTTCATTAATACAATTTAAGAGTATCATTGGGAATTTAACACACACATATGATTTCTTTTGCTCCATTAGCAGAAAACGTTAATTTTTGTTGATCCATTTATTTGACATATAAAATGTCTAAGAACTTGCTATACCTAGCATCCCTCTTACTAATGAGCTGTTTTAAAAGGTTATAGAAAAGAGATTCACTTGGAGTCCATTTGGGGAATAGCACTGTCTTCAGTAAAATGGGCCTTGCTACAAAGCTTTTTTAAGCAAATGGCTTAGATAACACTGAGTGACTTAGATCTTCATTGTGACAGTTTAAGAAATTACCCAAAAAGCTAAAGCCAAGCATTGTAACACACACACACACACACACACACACACACACACACACACACGAGATGGTAGATGAGCTTGCTATGGTGATGAGCTTGATTGTAACAATGATTTTCATTTTATCTATGTGTCAAAGTTTCATGTACCAATTACATGTACTTCATCAGTCATCTCTTAGTAAAGCTGGAGAAGAGTGACATCATATAAATAAGGCCATTTCTGCGTAGTATGGTATTCTGTAAATGTGTATGAACTGGTGTCAGTTTTCACGTGTTTGTGTAAGGCATGTACATGTTCACACTGGTGTGTGCATGTCTGGTGGCCAGAGGGAAATAATGTCAGTGTCCTCCTCAATCACTTTCCACCTCACTCTACGAGGGTCCCTCACTGAATCTAGAGCTCATCCCTTCAGCTACACTGGCTGTCTAGCAAGCTCCAGGAGCCACCTGTCTCCATGCCCCATGGAGCTGGGTTACAGATGTGCACCACCACGCCCACCTTTAATGTGGGCCCTGGAGTTCTAAATCCAGGTTTTAGGATTTTCCGACAGGCAGATTACTAACCAAGCCATTTCCCCTTCCCCACTTTCAGTCTTTTGAAAGAGATAACTTTTCCCTCTGCAAGCACTGGTACTCTCACATTTGTCTTTTTCTCCCCTTAGAATGGGCAGTCGAATACATGTCTATCCAAATGGATCCTTAGCTATTGGACTGGTGACAGAAAAAGATGGTGGTGACTACTTATGTGTGGCAAGAAACAAAATGGGAGATGATCTGATCCTGATGCATGTCCGCCTAAGATTGACACCTGCCAAAATTGAACACAAGCAGCATTTTAAGAAGCAAGTGCTCTATGGAAAAGATTTCCAAGTCGACTGCAAGGCTTCTGGCTCCCCTGTGCCTGAGGTTTCCTGGAGTTTGCCTGACGGAACAGTGATCAACAATGCAGTGCAAGCTGATGACAATGGCCACAGGACCAAGAGGTACACACTTTTCCACAATGGAACCTTGTATTTCAACAAAGTTGGGATTGCAGAGGAAGGAGATTATATTTGCTACGCCCAGAACACCTTAGGGAAAGATGAAATGAAAGTCCACCTAACAGTTGTAACAACCATTCCACGGATAAAGCAAAGCTACAAGACCAACATGAGGATCAAGGCTGGAGACACAGCTGTCCTTGACTGTGAGGTCACTGGGGAACCCAAGCCAAATGTATTTTGGTTGCTGCCTTCCAACAACGTCATTTCATTCTCCAAAGACAGGTACATATTTCATGCCAATGGAACTTTATTCATTAATAAGTTGAAGCCGCTTGACTCTGGGGAGTATGTATGTGTGGCTCGGAATCCAAGCGGGGATGACACTAAAATGTACAAACTGGACATTGTCTCTAAGCCTCCAATAATCAATGGTCTGTACACAAACAAAACTTTTATCAAAACCTCAGCTGTTCGGCACTCCAAAAAATACCTTGACTGCAGAGCAGATGGGATCCCATCTCCCCAAATCATGTGGATTATGCCAGGCAATATTTTCCTCACAGCTCCATACTATGGAAGCAGAATCACAGTCCATAAAAATGGAACCTTGGAAATTAGGAACATCAGGCTTTCTGACTCAGCAGATTTCATCTGTGTGGCTCGGAATGAAGGAGGGGAGAGTATGTTGGTGGTGCAGCTAGAAGTCCTGGAAATGCCAAGAAGGCCAACATTCAGAAACCCATTCAATGAAAAAGTAGTTGCTCAGGTTGGCAAGTCTACAGCACTGAACTGCTTTGCAGATGGGAACCCACCGCCTGAAATAATTTGGATTTTACCTGATGGCACACGATTTTCTAATAGACCACAAAATTCCCCGTACCTGATAGCAAGCAATGGTTCTCTCATCATTTATAAAGCAACTCGGGACAAGTCAGGAAAGTATCGCTGCGCAGCTAGAAATAACGTTGGCTATATCGAGAAACTCATCCTACTAGAAATTGGGCAGAAGCCAGTTATTCTGACATACGCATTGGGGATGGTAAAAAGTGTCAGTGGGGAAACTCTATCACTGCACTGTGTGTCTGATGGAATCCCGAAGCCAAATGTCAAATGGACTACACCAAGTGGCCATATAATAGACAGACCCCAAGCTGATAGAAAATACATACTGCATGAAAATGGCACACTGGTCATCAAAGAAACAACAGTCTATGACAGAGGAAATTATATCTGTAAGGCTGAAAACAGTGTTGGGCAGGCAGTGATTACTGTTCCAGTGATGGTCGTGGCCTACCCTCCCCGAATTATAAACCGCCCACCCAGGCGCATGCTCAGAAGGACAGGAGAAGCAATGCAGCTCCACTGTGTGGCCCTGGGTGTCCCCAAGCCAGGAATCACCTGGGAGAGGCCAGGACAGTCCCTGCCCTCCAAGGCAACAGAAAGAAAAACCCATGGAAGTGAGGTGCTTCACCCACAAGGCACCCTGGTCATTCAGAACCTCCAAATCTCAGATTCTGGAGTCTATAAATGCACAGCACAGAACCTACTTGGCACTGATTATGCGACAACTTACATTCAAGTACTCTGACAGGAAGTAAAACTAAAATTGAACGAAGTCAACATCTGAAGAGTTTATTTTTTTTTTTTTTGGAAGAAGTTTAATCAAAGGCAGCCATAGGCATGTAAATGAATCTGAATACATTTACAGTATTAAATTTACAATGGACATGCAAAAGAGACTTGGAAATAAATGCATTATGAACTGATACTGAGTTTCTATGGATTTCAACGCAAACTCTTAACTTAAGGCACTTTGATTTTGCCAACAAATAACAAACATTAACAGAAAACAATCCACCACAAAATAACAAATGGCTAATGCACCTGGATTTTCAGTAAAGAGACCTTTCAAAGCTCACTATCAGTTGCCAGCTGCCTGGTGTCCATCTTCTACCAATGCTACAAAAAAATTGCGCTCAGAATGGAAACAATTGGAAAGGCTAAATTTGCAGACTATGTAAATCTTAATGTACAAATATTTTGTCACTGGTTTATAAACATTTTGATAAAATCTACAGAAAACAAGAGCTGAGTGTTTTGAGTATGATTATTAGTTTACCATTTGTTCACACTGGAGAATCTCATTGTTTTCACACCTGCATTAAAACAAAACAAATACAGCTTTTCTACATGTTCAGGGCAGGCTAATGCTCACCCATCAGAAAGTGTAGAAAGGGTATTCACATTTGTCTATACCCTTGTCATCCTGAAAATGCTTAATGGGTTCAGTGAAACTTCTTTATAGCTTTAAAACCTAGATCAGGCACCCATGGTTTGGAGCCATTTATAAGAAAATTTTTCTAAGGAGGAATCAGTCCAAGGGTCTAGACCTTAGGTATAATAAAGTTTCATTGTATTTAAAATGTGAATGTTGTTTTTTTATGATTCACTGTACTTACATTACATGTTTAATTCAAACCAAATATTTATGAGGGTATCATATGCTTTACCTGTTTTATTCTAAAGGCTGGGATTTTCTATAATTTCTCTGGCTCCTGTACGAATATTCATCTATTTATGAGCTACAGGAGTCTTGTAAAAAAAAAAAAAAAAAGCAAAAGCCACCGTAAGTCTTACTCGGTTAACTTAGAACACTAAAACCAAGGGCTTTGTTAGCTTGTGCCAATCATTTCAGACTTGATTTCATTGTGTCTCCATCATGCTTTCTTTTGGGCCCTACCTCAGACGTGAGCTGACTGCAGTTAGCATATGGCTGCCAGAGGTCAAATGATACCCACTGTAGAGTGAATTAATGCAACCCTATAAGGAATCACCTTAAAACATAACACATATGTTAAGGAATTATTATAGCAAGAAATGGTGGTCAGTATACCCAATTCCATTAGATTTCAAGATCTGATATTTAATAGGAGCTGGAGTGTTCATCTTAAGATAATTTTTTATCTGCAACCCACTAAGAAAATGACAAGGTTCTGCATTAGGGCTTTTCCTTATGTCCATTTTAACGCCAACCATATGCATTTGGTATGAAAGTAAAAACACCTCTCAGAATGCAGAATTAAGTGTCAGTAAACATAAAAAATAAAATTTAAAATCCTAATTGCTTTCCTTATAACACACAAGGGAAAAAAGAGCTCTAAGTTTTTCCTCAGCTCCCACAGCATTTCAAAACTAGAGGGTTTCAGCATGACTTACCTTCCTCATTTTAACAAACAAAACAAACAGCAACAAAGGTATAACCAAACCCTTCATGTGCAAAATGACTGATAAATTAACTACCACAAACTGTAAAGTGCGTACAAATGCTATGCAATGGCAATGCTCATTCTGCTGTGTGCAATCCTGAGCTACACAGATGTATGGTTCCAACTGAAACTGGAATTTTCACTATCAATAATCACTGAATAATGACCAGAGAGGGCAGAGTATGACTTGCTCACTAGGCACAACATTCACACTTCTGTGGTTTTGCCAATGCAGCCATATGCTATATTACTTTGAAGAAAAATAGGATTTGAAGAATGACTCTGGAGAGGAAAGCAAAGCAGACATATGGGACCACTGAAATGTACTGTATTGCATGAAAGCAGATAGAATGTTAACTCAGTGGAAAGAATGGTCTTTAATGTTTGGCAAAGTCTTTCCAGCCCAGAGTAAACACAAAACAAGCAGGCTGGAGGGATATATTTCACAGTGTACAAAGCAGTTCACATGGATGTTGCCATGGCAAAGGAAGCAAACATGTATTTGAGGTCATTTGAATGAGTCAAACTTTGCAATGAGTAACTCACCTAGGAAGATATAAGTTATTTATATAATGATCCGCAAAAGAAATTATCTAAAGTTGTACAAGCTACATTTTAAAAAAGTAGTTCTACATGGTTTGCTCTTCATAGACAATCTATTCACAGTATGGTCGACTACATCACATGTAAAATCATATGGCAAAAGAAAATGAACCCAACAAAGAACATGGAGAGATCCCTACATATGTCTTAAAATGCCCTGCAATTTTCACATTCAAAATTTTATGCATCTAATTCTAAAAAAATATTATATGGAATACTCTTAAGTTACACAAACTGATAATAATTTACTTATTTTTCACTCTAATAGGAGCAAATTACCACATACTTGAACAAAGTTAAAATAGTTACTATTTCTTTATAATAAATTTGATGTATAATTTACTTTACTTGTGCTTTTTGCACCGGTTTATAAATACAGTATAAGCAATACACAACCAAGACTGACACCGACATTAATAATTAAATTCAAAATTGCAAATACTTACCATACAAAATTAACAGCAAATACACCTTTGACGAATACCAGAGCCTTCTGGACTGCGGGGCCAGATTCTGCGCACTGTGGAATCTAAGACCAGTTGTGAGATTTTTTTTTTTTTCTCAAGTTGGCATGAGGTTCCGAAGAACCAGAACTGGACAGTTATTTTTACCAAAACTGGCAGTAAGTAGATGGACTGATTCCACTGTGGTTCTTCTGGCCTCCAGTAGTTCTATGTTGTACCTTCATGGAGGATCTGGTTGAAGATTTTGCCACCGGAAACGAATTCGAGTGCAGCTACCTCTAAGAGGCTCCCACATCTCCCAGGGTGGCTCTCACAGAAGCCCTGAAGAAGCGGAAGTACTAAGCTACAGTCTGTTTCAGCACCTTTGGACCACAACAAAAGCAAAGCAAAGTCCTTCATAAATGTGAACGAAGTCTATAAAGTGCTTATGAAATGATCAGCATTTCAAATTAAAGTGATGTAAATAAGTGTCCACCCCACCCACCATCACAGGTGAGTAAGGAGTGAGTGCGCCACACTCCTGGGAGACCTGCCACATCTTTCCAATCGGTAGTTTGGTCCACCGCAGGTTTAAAAACAAAATCATTAATGGATACATAAATATTTAAACCTACCATAATTCATTCTTTATGTAAATATGAGATAAAAAAGCACCAGTTTCAAAAGGTCTGCTACCATACTATCTGGAGTAGGCCTACATGATCCACATTTTTAAAACCTACTTTAAATATGATAAAACCAAACCACAACTTCTCTATTTATTTAAATACCTCTGCATGAAATATAGCATAAAATACAGGAAAATATAAATAAATCAAAGACCAAAGGAGACTTCTTATGAGGACTACTAAATCTGATTTTCTGTTTTTCAGTGCAAACATAAACTTCGTGTCTTCTCTTCCAGATTCAGAAGTGTGAAGGATGCGCACAGGGGGTCACTCCTTGCTGTGGCTGGTTACCTAATAGAAAAACAGAGTTTGTCGTTACAGGCCTGTACTCGTGCTGCAGAAAATGCTTTCTCTCTGGTGGTCCTCTCAGTAACGGCTTTATGTACGGGAGGACAGCTCAACCGGCTAGACCCTGGGGATCAGTAGCCACGCAGCGTGACCTGATGTAGAGAGAACAGCTCTATCTGAGAGTCTCGGATCTGCTAACACAGCGCCTCGGGAATACAGAAGCTGACTCACAAGCGTTCAAGAGCTGTCATCTAGCCTGTGGCAGACAGCAGGGCAAGCAGACGTGCTCGTCACACTGGCGGGCCATACACAACTCCTCGGTACTGATTTATAAACACTAATTTTAACTCTAAAATATCATTATATTTCATTGTTCTAATCACAGATTATTTAGGAAGAAAAATTGATTTTACTTGATGTAACCAAAATTAAGAGAGGCTACAAGAAAAGAAAACATATACAGTTTCAGGTTTGGAGATTAAAAAAAAAATTCTCATGTACGTATTCACTGAACATGGTGATGTGTTACATGAAGACACAGACTCGTATACATTGTATGTTGAAGACCAAATAAAATAAAATAAACAAAAATCAAGATAGTAAGTATGACTGGCAGAGACACCGAGGAGTGGGGGAGGAGGCATTCTCTCTGTCAAGAAACCCACATGCAGAGCAGGCAGGCAGGCAAAAAGGCAGCGCATGCCACCCTCAGCCACAGACGGATGCCACGCCACTGCTTCTGCAAGAAATGGACTTCACTCCGCAACTCGGAAACACCGAATCCGACTGAAAGCCAGGGGAAACCTCGTCTCTTTCCATTGCACAGATGGAAAAACGTGACCCAACCAATAATGGCCACACTGGCTTAGAACCCCTGACTCCAGACCGCTTTGTTTCACAGCAGAGGGTGCTCATTCCAATTTCTAAAATGTCCTGCAACTCTAGCACAGAGGTGACCTAAGTTAAGCTCTATAAGAACAACACCTGCACATGGAACTGTAGTCAAACGGTGGAACATGTTCCTGGCACACAGGAAGCCCTGGGCTCTACCCTCAGCACCATAAAACAAAACAAAACAAACAAACAAAGAATAGGGGTGGAAGGGAGTTAGCTATGCTTTGGCTATTTCACATAGAAGCAATAGGACACTTTAAATTTAAGAAAAAAATGATGGCTTCTCCAGGCAAAGAAAAAGTAAATCCAAAACTAGTTAAAACTAGACAAAGCAAAACACCTTGGGCTAAACTGAACATGAAAAAGATGTATGTTTGTATGTATGTACGTGCATATAGATGGATGGAGGCATGTAACAAAGTAGTCAAATAAACAGAGGCTATCAACTTGACTGTGGGGGTCCTGGAGAGGTTTAACGGGGGGGTAGCTGAGAAGTGAGACGGAAGGAAGGAAGGAAGGAAGGAAGGAAGGAAGGAAGGAAGGAAGGAAGGAAGGAA